GGGGGGGGGGGGGGGGGGGGGACATGATAGCAGTGTTCTAGTATCTCAGGGGCTGCCGCAAAGAAGAGGGAGTCAAGCTATTCTCCAAAGTACCTGAAGGCAGGACAAGAAGCAACGGATGGAAACTAATCAAGGAGAGAAGCAACCTGGAACTAAGGAGAAATTTCCTGACAGAACAATTAACCAGTGGAACCACCTGCCTCCAGAAGTGGTGAATGCTCCAACACTGGAAGTTTTTAAGAAGAGACTGGATAGCCATTTGTCTGAAATGGTATATAGGGTTTCCTGCCTGAACAGGGGGTTGGACTAGATGACCTCCAAGCCCCCTTCCAGGTCTATTTATTCTGTTCTATTTAATGCAGTTAGATAAATCACCGTGTGATTTCTTAATATCTTCTGCCTTACCTCTAGCAAAGAAGTGAATTCCAAGAGATATTGATAGAATGTCTGGAGTATCCCCCCCCCCAGCATTCTAAGCCATCATGGGAATTATGGGTATTCATGGTTTAACAGATCTGGAGGATACACAAGCGTACAGCTAGATGTGCGTCTAGTTTCAGTTTTCATTCCCCCCCACTAATTTGATTTGAGTGGTCTTTGGCATTAATGGGACACACAGCGAGTTATCTGATGAGATTCTCTTTTTCTTCCAGATAAATCTGCAGAAGATTACACCTCCTCAAATACTCTGGTAAGTCACATTTTGCTGCCTTAGATATCCAAATGTGAAATTCTTTGTAGAATGGGATGTGTGTAAAACCCATTGTGAAATGTTAACTTCAGCTGCAAACAGGCTTCACAACACATCAGTCACTTTAGATCAGGGGTCTTCAAACTTGGCCACTTCAAGACTTGTGGACTTCAACTCCCAGAATTCCTCAGCCAGCCCTGAGGGCTGGCTGAGGAATTCTGGGAGTTGAAGTCCACAAGTCTTAAAGTGGCCAAGTTTGAAGACCCCTGCTTTAGATTATGGAGATTCCGTGTAAATACATTGATTTCCAAGTAATGGTTATTGGTACATCTAGATATTTGTACTATTTGAATATTTGAGGAGCTGTCGCAGAGAAGAAGGGGTCATCCTAGTCTTCAAAGCACCAGAGGGCAGGACAAGAAGCAACAGATGGAAACTAATCAAGGAGAAAAGCAACCTGGAATTAAGGAGAAATTTCCTGACAGTCAGAACAATTAATCAGGGGAACAATTTGCTTCCAGAAGTTGTGGGATTTTAAGAAGAGACTGGACCACCATTTGTCTGGAATTGTATAAGCAGGGGTAAGCAACCTTGGCTTTTTTATGACTCGTGGACTTCAACTCCCAGAATTCCTGAGCCAGCCATGCTGAGGGAAAAGGGAGAGGTTTCCAAGCTGAGCCATGCTGGCTCAGGAATTCTGGGAATTGAAGTCCACGAGTCATAAAAGAGCCGAGGTTGCCTACCCCTGGTATAGGCTTTCCTGCCTAAGCAGGGGGTTGGACTAGAAGACCTCCAAGGTCCCTTCCAACTCAGTTTCTGTGACTGTGTGAAGGGGGTGGCCATCAGCCCCACCTGACAGTGTGTGCAATTGGCTGCTTCTGTTGTCACATGACCATGATTTATGATGTTGTTTTTATTACCAGAAACAAGCGTTTATTTCCACTTAATAACCATAAATATGTACTGTATCCATGGTCTTCCTTGTGGTGACTTGAAATGCAGAAATCATGTACAAGCAGTCCTCGACATACAACATACATACAACATACAACAGTTCATTTAATGATGATTCAAAGTTACAACGGCACTGAAAAAGGTGACTTATGACCGTTTTTCACACTTACAACCGTTGCCGCACCCCCCCATGGTCACGTGATCAAAATTCAGACGCTTGGCAACGGACTCATATTTATGACGGCTGCAGCGTCCCGGGGGTGTCACGCGATTTCCCTTTTGCGACCTCCCGACAAGCAAAGTCAACGGGGGAAGGCAGCTTCCCTTCACGACGGTGTTACCCATTTAACAACTGCGGTGATTCACTTAACAAATATGGCAAGAAAAGTCGTAAAAATGGGGCAAAACTCAGGTCACAAATTTCTCACTTCACAACACAATAATCCGGGCTCAGTTGTGGTTGTATGTCGAGGACTTACCTGTACTGTCTTATATTTGTTTATGTGAACATTTTTATGTTTGGACTTTCAGCGATAGACTATTTAATAGCAGGAGTAATGCATATTTTATTTGCTTTAGCCAACACAACACAACTTAAAGCAGCAACTGTAATTCTGGGCTCAATTACAGCCATTAATTGAGGACTGCCTGCAATAAAATTTATGTCTCTCGCTGCCTGTATTCATCAAAAGAAAGTTGATCACTTGACATTGAGTGGTTTACATTTTCCTGTTCCTCTTTGGCTTGATTAAAATGCATCGTCTTTAAGGTTATTGGACAATAGCCATAATAGTAAATTCAGCTATTCAGCACCAGGCAATAACAACAGTATGTGTCTGGAAGACCCTTTTGGATTGATTGCATTTAATGGAGAGCTATTATCCAATTTTGCTGACTGGGTTATGACAATATATTGACAGGCAGCAATCTATTATGGGAGGTGCACATATGCAAGGGAAGCAAAATTTGAAAGCGGCACCAGGATGTCCTGATACACGCCTTCTGTGCAGGCCTTGTGACGTTGTGTGCCTGCACAAAAGCTGTGTGGCTGCAACAGTGTGATGCTGCTCTCGTCACGTTGATGTCAGTTTCCAGTTTTGTAGATCAGGGGTCCCCAATTTGTAGGCCACGGCATGGTAGCGGGCCGTGGCCTACGGGCCACGGGACAAGCTGGCCAGTGTGTGCACACACACACACTTGCAGTAGTACAAAAATGGGATGTCACCGTGCCTCGGGGCACAAAAACGGGACGCTGTGCTTTGGGACGCGGAAATGGGACGCTGATGCGCTTCAGGGCACGAAAATGGGACACTGACGTGCCTTGGGGCACAAAAATGAATCCGCCATGCCTCGGGGCGCAAAAACGGGCCGCCGCTGCAAATTGGGGTGCGGAAATGAGACACCGCCGTGCCTCGGTGCAGAAATGGGATGCTGCCGTGCCTCGGGGCGCAAAAACGGGATGATGCTGGGACACGGAAACGGTGCTGCGCCACACAAGAACGGGGCAAGGCTAGCGAGTATCACATGGACGCTAGCCCCGCCCCATTTGCATCGCACGTGTGCTTGTGGCCCCACGCGCGCATGTCAAAAGTGTCCCGCTCCCTTTTCCCTCTGGTCCGTCAACCGAGAAAGGTTGGTGACCTCAGTTGTAGATGGCTGTGTTTGCTAGCGTGTGAGGTCCACTCAAATAGGCCTGTTCGGAGACTGGCCACCAATTGCAGAGGTTTGCCAAGGATTTTATCAGGATCCTTGGAACTACAGCTAGTCCTCAAGTTATGACTACCATTGAGCCCAACGCCTATGATGCTAAGCCAGACATTTATTGAGCATTGTCCTGTTTGCAACCTTGCTTGCCACAGTTGTTAAGCGAAACACCGCCGTGGTTAGGATAGTAACACGGTGGTTAAATGAATCTAGCTTCCCCTTTGACTTTGCTTGTCGGAAGGTCGCAAAAGGGGATCACACGACCCCGGGACTTTTGCAACCGTCATAAGTACATGCCAGTTGCCAAGCATCCAAATTTTGATCACATGATCATGGGGATGCTGCAATGGTCGTGAGTGTGAAAAATGGTAAAGTCCCTGGTGGTTTTTTTTGCCTGAGCAGGGGGTTGGACTTGATGACCTCCAAGGCCCCTTCCAACTTTATTATTATTATTATTATTATTATTATTATTATTATTATTATTATTATTATTATTATTATTATTATTATTATTTACTAAACGAATGATTATTAGTTGAGAATTATCTGTAGGTCCTAACATCTTGCTTTGACTGTTAGAGGCTCTCCAAGTTCTTACCCTATTGAGATTTTTCAGCTGGGGGGGAAGGGAAATTCTTGACTAGAAGGGTGTAATTGCATTCATTTTATATTTTTTTTAATTGAACACTTTGAATGAAAGATATACATTAGTAAGACGAAACTAAAAATAAAAGAACATAATACAGATAAATTAAGGACATAAATTAATGTCATGATTATGCAAAGGTTAGCATTTGTGGTCCCTTTTTTGGGTGTGTGTGTGTTAGGGAACAGCTTGCCTCCAGAAGTTGTGGGCGCTCCATCACTGGAGGTTTTTAAGAAGAAACTGGACAGTCACTTGTCTGAAATGGTATAGGGTCACCTGCTTCAGCAGGGGGTTGGACTAGAAGACCTCCAAGGTCCCTTCCAGCTCTGTTTTGATTGAAGTTGGTTGTGTGAACATAGGCATTAAATGACAGGGTTTTCTGTCACTGAATAGTCTGAAATCCAAAATGTAAAAGTTTTGCAGGCTTAGGCCAGAACGTCACCTGTTCATTGTATGATTGTTAGTAGAAATGGTTCAAGTTTGCTTTGAAAAAAGGGGGACATAAATCCTGAAATAAGTGCAAGAAGAACTGAATTGGCAGGACTAAAAATAATGCCGCAGATCTGACGTTATTTTATTGATGCCTTCTTTTTGAAAAGAAAAAAGAAAAAAAGCACACTGAATCTCAAAACACCAAACAAACATGTTTGTGAAAGGGACTATTTTTAAAATCCAGCCTTTCCCAAAGAACAGGTAAAAAGCCGGCATCTGTATTTAACACATTCGGATGAATCTGATTCTCTCACTCCCAAGCAATAACATTTATTTTTAAATGAGCTAGTTTTTCCCAGGGGCTGTTTTCGCACATAAAGGGAAAAAGTGATAGCTTAAAAGAGGGCAGCATGCCCTCGGTTCTCAGGGTGATAGATTGTGTGAACGCCCTGTCCCACATCTAAACCAAGGCCGTTTTGTGGATGGGAAGAAAATGACGTAATCTGTTCTCTTCCAAGTGCCCACTGCTCTTCAACATCTTCATCAAAGATTTGGACGAGGGGATAGATGGGGAACTCATCAAATTTGCAGACGACACCAAGCTGGCAGGAATAGCCAACACTCCAGAAGACAGGCTTAGGATACAGGAGGATCTGGACAGACTGGAACACTGGGCACTATCTAACAAAATGAAATTCAATGGTGAAAAAAGTAAGGTTCTACATTTAGGCAAGAAAACCCAAATGCCCAGGTATAGTATAGGTCAGGGGTGTCAAACTCGCAACGTCACATGACGTGTCACGACGTATCGTGACTTTTTTTCCATTGCCGGCAATGGGGTGGGCGCGGTTTCGCTATGATGCATCCGGCAGTTTGACACCCCTGGTATAGGTGTTATCTCGTTCAGTAGCAGTAACTGTGAGAGGGATAATAATAATAATAATAATAATAATAATAATAATAATAATAATAATAATAATAATAATAAAAAAGTTGGAAGGCACCTTGGAGGTCATCTAGTCCAACCCCTTGCTCAGGCAGGAAACTCTATACCATTTCGGACAAATGGCTGTCCAGTCTCTTCTTAAAAACTTCCAGTGTTGGAGCATTCACAGCTTCTGGAGGCAGGTTGTTCCACTGGTTAATTGTTCTCACTGCCAGGAAGTTTCTCCTTAATTCCAGGTTGCTTCTCCCCTTGATGAGTTTCCATCCGTTGCTTCTTGTCCTGCCTTCAGGCGCTTTGGAAAATAGCTTGACTCCCTCTTCTTTGGGGCAGCCCCTGAGATATTGGAAGACTGCCCCCCCTAGTCCTTCTTTTCATTAGATTAAACTAAACTAAATGTACCAAATTCTTGCATGAATCACAGCATTGGTTAAATAAATCCTGAGGTGGTTAAATCAACGGGAAAAGCTGAATTTGCTTAACGACTTCATGATTTGCTTCTGGCAGAAAGGTTATAAAATTCAGCATGATTGACTTTTAACGACTCACTTAGCAACTAGAAATTTCCATTGTGGTCATAAGTCGAGGACTTCTTGTATAGCCCGTTCTTTCTTTCTGCAGAGAATGGCAGTCTGGCCTAGGGGTGAAATTGCTGGATGGGGAGTCTAGTCCGCCCTTGGCCATTCAAGGCCGAGGCGGGAGGGATTTTGAGCAATTTTGAGAAAAAATGTCGGTACGTTACCTTGAGGTTCCGAGCAAAAGCTGCGATCTAAAAACCTAACAAATAACTCACTCGATCAGAATAGAGCTGGAAGGGACCTTGGAGGTCCTCTAGTCCAGCCCCCTGCTCAAGCAGGAGACCCTATACCATTTCAGACAGGTGGTTGTCCAGTCTCTTCTTAAAAACCTCCAGTAATGGAGCTCCCACAACTTCTGGTGGCAAGCTGTTCCACGGGTTAATTGTGCTCACTGTCAGGAAGTTTCTCCTTAGTTCCGGGTTGCTTCCAATTAAATTGAGTGTTGTTTCCACGCAGAATGTGAAGGCCGTGTCGGAAACTCCAGCCGTGCCCTCTGTTTCGGAAGATGATGATGACGACGAAGCTCTCCCCCCGCCAGTCATCGCCCCTCGGCCCGAACATACGAAGTCGGTGAGTGGTTTAGCTCCTTTTTGAGTGAGCCCTGGGAAATTGTTTTGAAAATCGGCTTGCGGCGATTTATTACGGGAAATTAAAAATGGATAAGTCCAGTCGTGTCCGATTCCAGGTGCTGGTTTCTGTTTGTTTGCCGAGGGAGATAGTTGTTTGAAGACAATTTCCCCAGTCATGTGGCCAGCACGGCTATAGGCCAGGGGTCTTCACACTAGGCCCTTTTATGACTCGTGGACTTCAACTCCCAGAATTCCTCAGCCAGGCATGCTGGCTGAGGAATTCTGGGAGTTGAAGTCACGAGTCATAAAAGCGCCGAGTTTGAAGACCCCTGACTTAGCCACTTCTTCGCTTAATGATCAAGTAGCCGGCCCCAATTGTAGTCACTAAACGAGGACTATCTATACTCTGTTTATATGCTACTATTAGATGTGATACGATTTTATTGTCTTTGAGATTATAGAGCAGGGGTCTTCAAACTCGGCCCTTTTATGACTCGTGGACTTCAACTCTCAGAATTCCTCAGCCAGGCATGCTGAGGAATTCTGGGAGTTAAAGTCCATGAGTCATAAAAGGGCCGAGTTTGAAGACCCCTGCTATAGGCCAAAAGCTCACGTAACGCTGTTACCTTCCATTGAAGTGGTACCTACTGATCTACTCGCATTTGCAAACTTTCAAACTGCTACCGTGTTTTCCACGAAAATAAGACCAGGCCTTTTTTTTCATTTTTTTGGGCTCCAAAACAGGCATCAGGTCTTATTTTCGGGTGTGTGTGTGTATTTTCCATGGTCTCACCTCACAGCGGTACCAACAGCCCCACCCGGCCGTCCCACTTCTGTGGCCGAAGGAAATGCCTCTGCAGTTGAGAATGGGGCTTCGGCCTACATTTCGCTATCCGAGGCCTTCTGGAAATGCCTCTGCAGCCGAGAACCACGGATTGAATTTGTAGCTCTGTTCTCGGTTGCAGAGGCTTTTTCGGAAGGCCAGTGATGGCAAAATGTAGGCCCTAGCTTTATTTTTAGGCGTGCGCCTCGCCCCAAAACTAGGGCTTATTTTGGGGGGTAGGGCTTATATTAGTCCCACCCCAAAAAAATCAAGCTAGGGCTTATTTTCGGGGTAGGACTCCTGGTAGGTGAGCAGGAGCAAGGAACGGGAGCTCACCCCATTGGGTGGTGCTCGGGTCTCAAACCCGGCATGTCAGCTCTCCAGCTGGCAAGCTCGGCAGCTTTAACCGCTGAGCCACCGTGCCCCTTTGTGAAACTTCCCTGGTTTCATGGGAAACTAGGGAAGGGAAAAAATGGAAAAGTCCAACAGTATCACCTCAAAACCGAGAAGCATAGGAATTCTGGGAAAAAAAGAAGGAAAAAAAGAAAGGAGTTCTGGGAGTTCTGTTGTGTTGCTCAAAATGTTTTCACATGACCCCAGAACACCACA